CTCGATGCTATGTCATTTTCATACTGTCGCTGGGCCTCCCTCCTTACCTATGCATACTCATTCTTGACTCTGCGACTGATCTCCCTATTTTCGTGTGTTCTCTGCCTTCTGTACTTTTTCCATTCTCTATTGCACTTTGTTTTTGCCTCCTTACACCGTCGGGTAAACCAGGGGCTCGTTCTGGTCTTCCCGTTGTTACTGTTGCCCTTGGGAATAAACTTTTCCATTGCCTCCTTGCATTTTGTTGTTACATATTCCATCATTTCATTTACTGGCTTTCCTGCCAGTTCTCTGTCCCGCTGGACCTCCTGCAGGAAGTTCTTCAACCCTATGTAGTCCCCTCTTTTATAGTCAGGCTTTTCCCATTCAACTCCTGTTATTCTCTCCACTCGCAGCTCTATGTATTCAAAGCACAGAACCACGTGGTCGCTAGCTCCTAGGGGACTCTCATACTTGATGTCCTCAATGTCTGAGCTGCCCAGGGTGAACACAAGGTCCAATCTTGCTGGTTCATCCTCCCCTCTCACTCTGGTAGTGTCCTTAACATGTTGGTGCATGAGGTTTTCCAGCACCACGTCCAACATCCTGGCTCTCCATGTTTTGGGACACCCATGTGGCTCCAGGTTTTCCCAGTCGATCTCCCTGTGGTTGAAATCCCCCATAACCAGCAACTTTGCTCTGTTGGAATGAGCTCTTCTTGCCACCATCAGCAAGTGTGTCCACCATTGCTATGTTGCTTTCTTCATATTCCTCTCTTGGCCTCCTGCAGTTCTGTGGAGGATTATACATCACTGCAATGACCACTTTGTGTTCCCCAGACTGAAGTGTACCTGCTATGTAGTCTCTTTCTCCCGTCTCATCTATGCCTTCCATTTTCTCGAATTTCCATCTGTTTTTTTATGCCCCTTCTATCTTTCCTCATGATCTGGTATCCTGGTGGGAAGATTGCATCTGTTATTGTCTCCGTGAGTTTTGTTTCTGTAACTGCTATGATGTCTGGGGACTTCTCATTAATTCTTTCTTGCCATTCCTCATGTTTATCCATTAATCCATCTGCATTTGTGTACCAAACCTTCAACTTCTGTTCTAATACTGTAACTGTGGTGCGGGGGGTGGAAACAGAGGGACGGTGTGTGAGGGGTTTGGTTGTTCGTTTCCTTGGGGGTTCGGCCGGGGTCCTTCGCAGGGGTTTCTGGGGTGTGTGTGTGTGTGTTTGTGTTGTGGTGTTTAAGAAAAGGCATTTAGGGAAAAATTAAGCAAGACAAAAACCCAAAAGGTGAAAAAAAAAACACATTAAACAGGAATGTATATTTTTTACGTCAGGAAGGTGGTCTTGGTCCATGAAGCTCGCAGTATGATATAAACCTGACAACAGGATAAAGGACCTTGCCTTATATTGAGGCCCCAAAAAAAAAAAAAAAAAAAGAAGCCTTGGGAAGGGGAAGAGACCTAACTTCATTTCAGTTTTTCATTTTGCAGTTCTTCATATATTTTGCTCCATTATAACTAAACTTCCCTTTTATCAGTTAACATGGGGAAATTGCCAGCTAGAAAAACAGAATTACATAGCCTTTCTAACAAACTTCGTTAATTATTTAACGTGTATAAAAACCATATTTGCAAATCAATAATTGCTCAATTCGCGGAAACTTTAATGCAAAAACAACATGAGGGGTTTCTTGTTTTTAATTATCTCATTTAAAAAGTTCCTTTTTCTTAAAACAAGAAAAAGTTTTTTGTGAAGCTCGTTTAAAATTTCTTTGAAATTGATTTTTTGGGGAAAAAATAAAAAAATTTATAGCCCGTTTGTAACATGTCACCTTGTGTTTTTAACATGTCACTCTTGGTTTGAAAATTCACTCTTTTTGTTTGTAACATTCATTTGTGTTTGTAACATGTCACCTTGGTTTGAACAGTCACCTTTGTTGTAACTGTCACTTTGTGTTTGTAACAGTCACTCTTGTGTTTGAACATGTCACTCTTGTGTTTTTTAAAATGTCATTTGGTTTGTAACATGTCACCTTGTGTTTGGGAAATTCACTCTGGTTTGTAAATTTACTCTTTTGTTTGAACATGTCCCTCTTGTGTTGGGAAATGTCACCTTGGTTTGTAAAATGTCACTCTTGGTTTGTAACAGTCCACTCTTTGTTTGTAAATTTACTCTTTTGTTTTGGGAAAATGTCACCCCTTTTGTTTTTAACTTTTCACTCTTTGTTTGTAACATGTCATCTTGGTTTGTAACATGCACTCTTGTGTTTGTAAAATGCACTCTTGTGTTGGGAAATGCCCCTCTTTGGTTTGTAACATGTACCTTGTGTTGGTAAAATTCACTCTTGTGTTTGAACATGTCCTCTTGTTTTGAACATGTCACCTTGTGTTTGTAACATGTCATTTTTGTGTTGTAACATGTCACCTTTTGGGTTTTTTTAAATGCCCCTTTGTTTGTAAAAGTCACTCTTGTTTTGAACATGACTTTTTTGTTTGTAAAATGTCACTCTTGTGTTTGTAACATGTCCTCTTTTTTTTGTAACATGTCTTTTTGTGTTTTACTTTGACTCTCTTTGTTTGTAACAGTTTACTCTTGTGTTTTTAACAGTTACTCTTTTTTTTGTAACTTCACTCTGTGTTTGTAACTGTTACTTTTGTTTGTAACAGTCCTTTGTTTTAACATTCACTCTTGTTTTTAACAGACCTGTTTTGTAACTACCTCTGGGTTTTGTAACATGTCCTTTGTGTTTGTAACAGTCCTCTTGTTTGTAACGTCACCTTGTGTTTGTAACATGTCACTCTTGTGTTTGTAACATGTCACTCTTGTGTTTGTAACATGTCACTCTTGTGTTTGTAACATGTCACTCTTGTGTTGGTAACATGTCACTCTTGTGTTTGTAACACCCTTGTGTTTGGGAAAATGTCACTCTTGTGTTTTGAACATTCACTTTGTTTGTAACATGTCATCTTGTGTTTTTAACATGTACTCTTTTTGTTGGGAACTGTCAACCTTGGTTTGTAACAAACACTCTTGTGTTTGTAACTGTCACTCTTGTGTTTGTAACTGTCAAATCTTTTGTTGGGAACAGTCCTCTTGTGTTTGTAACATGTCCCTCTTGTGTTTTTAACTGTCACTCTTGTGTTTGTAACATGTCCCCCTTGTGTTGGGAACATGTCACCCTTTTTTTGAACATTCAAATCTTTTTTTTGTAAAATGTCACTCTTTTTGTTTTTAACAGTCACTCTTGTGTTGGGAACATTCACTCTTGTGTTGGGAACATGTCACTTTGTGTTTGTAAAAATGCACTTTTGGTTTTTAACATTCAACTTGTGTTTTGTAACATGTCCACTTGTGTTGGGAACGTCCCCTCTTGTGTTGGTAAATGTCATCTTGTTTTGTTAAGTCATCTTGTGTTGGTAACATGTCACCTTGTGTTGGTAACATGTCACTTTTGTGTTTGTAAAATGTCACTCTTGTGTTTGGTAAAAATTCACCTGTTTGGTAACATTTTTCTTTTGTGTTTTGGGGAACATGTCACCTTGTGTTGGGAAAATGTCACCTTTTTTGGAACATGTCACTCTTTTGGTTGGGAAAATGTCACTCTTTGTTTGGAACATGTCACTCTTGGTTGGTAACATGCACTCTTGTTTTGTAACAGTCACTCTCTTTTTTTTGTTTTTGGGTTTTTAAAATGTCACTTTTGGTTTTCCCTTTTTGTAACATGTCACTCTTGTGTTTTTAACAGTCACTTTTTTTGAAATGTGTTTTTAACATGTCACTTTGTGTTGTAACATGTCACTCTTGTTTTGTAACATGTCACTTTTGTGTTTTTAACAGTCACCTTGTGTTTTGGAACTGTCACTCTTGTGTTTTAAAATGTCACTCTTGTGTTGTAACAGTCACTCTTTTTTTGGGAAAACACATCTTTTTTTGTAACATGTCACTCTTTTGTTGTAACAGTCACTCTTGTGTTTGTAACATGTCACTCTGTGTTTTAACAGTCACTCTTGTTTGGAACATTCACTCTTGTGTTGAACATGTCACTCTTGTTTTGGTAACATGCATCTGTGTTGGGAACATTCACTCTTGTGTTTAACTGTCACTTTGTGTTGGGAACATTCACTTTGTGTTTGGGGACATTCACTTTGTGTTTGTAAATGTCACTCTTGTGTTGGAACTGTCACTTTTTTTGAACGTCACTCTTGTGTTTGTAACAGTCCCTTGTTTTGGGGAACATGTCACTCTTTTGTTTGTAACAGTCACTCTTTTGGGTTTTTTAAAATGTCACTCTGTGTTGGGAACAGTCACCTGGGTTTTTAACATGTCATCTTGTGTTGTAAAATGTACTCTTGGTTGGTAAAATTTTCACCCTGGTTGGAACATGTCACTTTTGTTGGGAACATTCCTCTTGTTTGGTACATGTCACCTTGTGTTGGAACATCACTCTTGTGTTTTAAAATGTCACTCTTGTGTTGGTAAAAATGTCACTTGTGTTTTAAAAATTTCACTCTTGTGTTTGTAAAATGCACTCTTGTGTTGTAACATGTCATTTGGTTTTAAAATTTATGTGTTGGAACATGTCCTTTTTTTTTCTGTTTTCTTGTGTTTGGGACATTCACCTTGTGTTTGAAAAATGTCACTCTTGTTTTGTAAAAATGTCACTTTTGTTTTGTAACATGTCATCTTGGTTGGGAACATGTCACTCTTGTGTTTGTAACATGTCACTCTTTGGTTTTTTAACATGCACTCTTGTTTTGGGAACATGTCACTTTGTGTTGGAACATTTCACTCTTGTTTTGTAAAACCCCCCAAAATGTCACCTTTGTTTGTAAAGTCACTCTTTTGTGTTGGGTTTAAAATTCACTCTTTGTTTGTAACATGATCTTGTGTTTTTAACATGTCACCTTTGTTTTGTAACTTCATCTTTTTGTTTGTAACATGTCACTCTTGTGTTGGTAACATGTCACTCTTGTGTTTGTAACATGTCACTCTTGTGTTTGTAACATGTCACTCTTGTGTTTGTAACATGTCACTCTTGTGTTTGTAACATGTCACTCTTGTGTTGGTAACATGTCACCTTTTTTGTTGTAAAAAGTCATTTGTGTTTGTAACATGTCACCTTGGTTTTTTAAAAATGTCACCTTGGTTTGTACAGTCACTCTTTTTTTGTAACAGTCACTCTTGTTTTGGACATGCCCCCTTTGTGTTTTTAAAATGTCACCTTGTGTTGGGCTGTCACCTTGTGTTTGTAACATGTCACTCTTGTGTTTGTAACATGTCACTCTTGTGTTGTAACATGTCACTCTTGTGTTGGTAACATGTCACTCTTGTGTTTGTAACATGTCACTTTGTGTTGAACTGTCATCTTTGTTTGTAACATGTCATCTTGTTTTGGGAAAATCACTTTGTTTGTAACATTCACTCTTTTTTGGTACATGTCACTCTTGGTTGGGAACATTCACTTTGTGTTTGAACAATGAAAATCTCTCTTGGTTTTTTAACATGCACTCTTTGTTTGTAACATGACTCTCTCTTTTTTGTAAAAGTCACTCTTGTTTTTTTTAACATGACCTCCCCTTGTTTGTAACATGTCCCTTTTTTGTTTTCTTCCCTGATCTCTCTTGTTTTTTAACATGTTTCTCTTTTTGTTTGTAAAATGTCACTCATATTTTTTGTAACAAGTCACTCTTTTGTTTTTAACATGACTCCTCGTGTTTTTTTAAAAATGTTACTCTTGTGTTTGTAACATGACCCCTCCTCGTTTCAACAAGTCACTCTTGGTTTTTAACATACTTCCCCCGTGTTTTTTAACATGACTCCCGTGTTTGTAACATGTCGCTCCTTTTGTTTGAACATGACCCCCTCTTGTTTTAACAAATTTACTCTTGTTTTTTTTAAAATGTCACTTTTTTTGTTTGTAACTGGCTCTCCTCGTGTTTGTTTAAAATGTCGCCAATGTTTGTAACATGTTTCCCCTCTTGTGTTTGTAACATTACCCCTCTCGGGTTTTTAACATGTTGCTCCCTTTTGGGTTTTTAACATGTCACCTTGGGTTTGTAACATGTCCCCTCTGTGTTTGTAAAAATGACTCTCGTTTTTGTAACATGTTTTCTCTTTGTGGTTTTTTAAAAATTTCAAACTCGTGTTTTTTACTTTACTCCTCGGTTTTTTAACATGACTCCTCGGGGTTTTTAACATGCGCTCTTGTGTTTTTAACATGACTCTTGGTTTTAAAAATGTCACTCTTGTGTTTTTTTAAAATGACCCTCGTGTTTGTAACTTTCACACTAGTGTTTTTTAACATGTCACTCCCCGTGTTTGTAACATGACTCTCTCACTTTGAAAAAATTTTCGCCTTGGGGGTTTGTAACATGTTGCTTTTGGGTTTGTAAGTTTGTAACATGACTTTTTCGTGTTTGTAACAGTCCAAATCCATGTTTGTAACAAATCGCTCTCGTGTTTCCAACATGTCACTCTCGTTTTTATAACATGCACTCTCGTGTTTTTAACAAGTTCCCATCTCGTGTTGTAACATGCAAATCTCGTTCGTAAAAGGGCACTCTCGGTTTTTAACATGTCGCCTCGTGTTTGTAAAATTCACTCGTATTGTTTAAAATGTCAATGTCGTGCTTTTTAAAATATCACAGTCGGGTTTTTATGGTTCCCTCCGGGTTTCCCGGTATAAACCTAGCTCTGCTGGGTGGGGTGATTTCTTTAGGATTTTATGGGCCCGTGGTTTTGAGCTTTTGTGGGAAAGAGGGAGGCTTAAACAACACGGGTTTGAAACCCCGGCTAGACCCCAGTGGTTTTTACTATATATAAATATATATATATAATATATAATATATATAAATAAATATAAATATATATATATAATATATATATTAAATATATAAAAATATATAAAAATAAAAATTGAAAGAATACAAGGGGTGGGCTTGCTCTAGTTCTGTTCCACTAAGTTGTTTTTTTTTTTGGGGACTTTCGACAAATGTAGCTGGTCTTAAAAATATCACCTTTCTTTTTTAAATTTTTTTGTGATCGTTGTAGAAAGTGTTGTGGTGCTGTTATGGGGGCTGGTTTCTGGTAATAAGTGTTGTGGTCGTTATGGTGGGTGGTTTTTTGGTAATAAGTTTTGTGGTGCTGTTATGGGGCTGGTTTCCCTTTAATAAAATGTTGGGGGTGCTGTTATGGTGCTGGTTCTTGTAAAAAAGTGTTGTGGGGCTGTTTTTGGGCCGGTTTCTGGGAATAATGTTGTGGTGCTGTTAGGTTGGTTTTTGGTAATAATGTTTGGTGCTGTTATGGGCTGGTTTTTTTGTAATAAGTTTTGGGGGCTGTTATGGTGGGTGTTTCTTTTAATAATTTTTGTGGTGCTGTTTTTGGTTCCCGGTTTTTTGGTAAAAATGTTGTGGGCTGTTATTTTGGTGGGGTTTTTTTAAAAAGTGTTTTGGTGCGTTTGTGCTGGTTTTTTGTAATAAGTTTGTGGTGCTGTTTTTTGGGGCTGGTTTCTTTTAATAAGTGTTGGGGGCTGGTTTTGGGCGGTTTCGGTAAAAAAGTGTTTTTGGGGCTGTTAATTTGGGCGGTTTCCCGGTAATAAGTTTGTGGTGCGGGTTTTGGTTGCTGGTTTCTTGTAAAAGTGTTGTGGTGCGTTATGGTGCTGGGTTTTTGGTAATAAAGTGTTTTTGGTGCTGTTTTGGTGCTGGGTTTTTCGTAAAAAAGTGTTTGGTGCTGTTTTGGTTGGGTTTTTTTTTTTAATAAAAAGTTGTGAGCTGTTTTTGGTGCGGTTTTTTGGTAATAAGTTTGGGGGTGCTGTTATAGTGGGTGGTTTCTTGTAATAAAGGTTGTGGGGCTTTTTTGGTGCGGTTTCTGGTAATAAGTGGGTTTGGGGGCTGTTTTGGGGGGTGTTTTTTGGTAATAAGTGTTGTGGTGCCTTATGGTTGGGTGTTTTTTTGGTAATAAATGTTTTTGGGGGCTTTTTATGGTCCCGGTTCTGGGAATAATGTTGTGGTCTGTTATGGTGCTGTTTTCCCGGGATAAGTTGTTGTGGTGCTCTTAAGGTGCTGGGTTTTTGGAAAAAAGGGTTGTGGGGCTGGTTTCTGGTAATAAGTGTTGTGATGCCCCGTTTTGGGCTGGTTTCTTTTGGGAATAAGTGTTTTTTGCCGTTTTTGGTCTGGTTTTTTTGAAATAAGTGGGTTTTGATGCTGTTAGGTCTGGGTTTTTTGTAATAAGTGTTGTGGGAGCTTTAATGGGCTGGTTCCCTTGGGACTAAGGGTTGTGTGCCCGTTATGGGCTTTTTGTGTTTAAGTGTTATGGTGCTGTTTCTTGTAATAAAGTTTGTGGTTCTGTTATGGGGTGGCTTTTTGTAACCCAAATGTTTTTGGGCCGGTTTTTGGTAATAATTGTTGTGTTTCTGTTATGGGGCTGGTTTTTTGTAAAAGTATTGTGGGGGATATTATGGTGCTGGTTTCGGTAATAAAAATTTTTGTTGCTGTTTGGGCTGGTTTTTGGTAATAATGTTTTGATGCTGTTAGGGGGGGTTTCTGGTAATAAGTGTGGTGGGTTTCTGTTAAAGGGGGCTGGTTTTTTGGTAATAAGTGTTTTGGGGCTTTTTAAAGGTTTTTTTTCTGGTTTTTGGTAAAAAGGGTTTTGGGTCTGTTATGGTGCGGTTTTTTTGGTAATTTAAATGTTTTTGATGCTGTTTTTGGTGCTGGTTTTCTGGGAATTAAATGTTTTTGGGTGCTGTTATGGTGCTTGGGTTTTTGGTATAATGTTTTGGGGGCTGTTTTTGGTGCTGGTTTTTTTTAATAAGTCCCTTTTGGTGGGTGTTATGGGGCTGGTTTTCGAAAAAAGTGTTGTGGTGCTGGGTTTTGGTGGGTGGGTTTTCTTGTAATAAAAGTTGTATGCCCGTTATGGTCTGGTTTTTTGGGAATAAGTGTTGTGGGGCTGTTATTGGCTGGTTTTTTTGGAATAAGGGTTGTGGGCGTTAAAGGTGCTGGTTTCGGTAATAAGTGTTGTGGGGGGTGTTTTTGGGGGCTGTTTTCTGGTAATAAGTTTTGGGGGTGCTCTTTGGTGCTGTTTTCTGGTAATAAGGGGGTTTTGGGGCCCGTTTATGGGCTGGTTTTTTTAATAAGTGTTGTGGGGCTTTATGGGGGCGGTTTCTGGTAATAAGTGTTTGGGGCTGTTTTGGTGCTGGTTTTTTGGTAATAAGTGTTGTGGTGCTGTTATGGTGCTGGTTTTTTTTGTAAAAAGTGTTGTGGGGCTGTTTTGTGCTGGTTTTTGGTAATAAAAGTTTTTGTTGCGTTTTTGGTTTCTGGTTTTTTGGTAATAAGTTGTGATGCTGTTATGGTGCGGTTTCCGGGGAATAAGTGTGGGGTGCCCGTTTTTTTGGGCTGGGGTTTTTGGTAAAATGTTGTGGTGCCCTTTTTTGGTGCTGGTTTTGTAATAAGTGGTTTTGATCTGTTTTGGCTGGTTTGGTAAAAATGTTGTGGGTGCGTTATTGGGGCTGGTTTCCCGTTTAAAAATGGGTTTTGATGCTGTTTTTGGTGCGGTTTCTGGAAAAAGTGTTGGGTGCTTATGGTGCTGGTTTCTTTTAAAAATCCTTTGGGGGCGTTATGGGGGCTGGTTTTTTTGTACTAATGTTATGGTGGTGTTATGGGCTTTTTGTGTAATAAGTGTTATGGGGCTGTTTCTTGTAATAAGTGTTGTGAGCGTTGTGGTGCTGGGTTTTTTGAATAAATATTGTTTTGCGTTATGGGGGCTTTTTTTCTTTTAATAAGTGTTTTGGGGCGGTTAAAGGTGCTGGTTTGTGGGGAAAAAAGGGTTTTTGGGGGGCCCGGGTTTTGGGGGATGGTTTTTTTGGGAATAATGGGTTTTATTTCTTTTTTATTGTGCTGGTTTCTTGTAAAAAGTTTGTTTTGGGGTGTTAGGGCTGGGTTTTTTTGGGAAAAAAGTGTTTTGGTGCTGTTTTGGTGGCTGGTTTGTGGTTTAAAAAGTGGTTTTTTAGCTGTTTGGGGCTGGTTCCCTTTTAATTAAATGTTTATGGTGCTTTTTTGGTGCTGGTTTGGGGGTAATAAGGTTGTTATTCCCCTTTAAAAGGGGGGCTGGCTTCAAGTAATAAGTGTTTTGATATTGGGGTTTTACAGCTGGGTTTTTTTTTAATAAGTATTGTGGGGGCTGTTTTTGGTCTGTTTTCTGGTAAAAGAGTTGTGGTGCCGTTAAAGGTGCTGGTTTCTGGGAATTTAAATGTTTTTTGATGCTGGTTTCGGTAAAAAAGTGTTGTGGTGCTGGGTTTCCCGGTAATAATGTTGTGATGCTGTTTTTTTGCTGGGGTTTTTGGGAATAATTTTTTGTGGTTCTTTTTTTGCTGGTTTTTGGTAATAAGTGTTTTTGGTGCTTTATGGTGCTGATTTCTTGGGAAAAAAGTTTCTATGCTTTTTAAAGGTTCTGGTTTTTGGGAATAAAATATTTTGTGCGTTAGGGCCCGGCTTCTTGAAAAAGTTTTTGATGCTGTTATGGTTTGGTTTCTTGTAATAAGTATTGTGGTGCTGTTATGGTGCTTTTTTTCTTAAAAGTTTGTGGGGCTGTTATGGTGCTGGTTTCCTGATACAAGTGTTTTTTGGTCTGGTTTCGGTAATAAATGTTGTTATGGGTGTTAGGGGCTGTTTTCTGGGGAAACAAAAATGGTTTTGTTGCTGTTATGGTGCTGGTTTTTGGAAAAAATTGTTTGATGCCCCGTAATGGTGCTGGTTTTGTAAATAAGTGTTGTTATGCGTTATGGGGCTGGTTTCGGGGGGTAAGTGTTGTGGTGCTGTTATGGTGCTGGTTTTTTTGTAATAAGTGTTTTTCGGTGCTGTTAATTGTTGGTTTTTGTTAATAATGTTTTGGTGCTGTTATGGTGCTGGTTTCTATTTTAAAAGGGTTTTGGTGCTGTTTTGGTGCCCGGTTTTTGATAAAAGTGTTTTGGGGGTGGTTTTTTTTTTTGGGGGGTGGTTTTCTTTTAATAAGTGGGTTTTTATGCTTTATGGTGCTGGGTTTTATGTAATAATGTTGTGATACTGTTATACCCGCTGGTTTCTTGTAATAAGTATTTGGTGCTGTTATGGGCGGTTTCCCAGGAATAAGTGTTGGTGCGTTTTGGGGCTGGGTTTTTTGGGAATAAGGTTTTTTGAAAGGTGTTATGGTCTTGGTTTTTGGAATAAGGTTTTGAAACTGTTTTAGTGGGTGGTTTTTGGTAATAAATGTTTTTGGGGCTGTTATGGGGTGGTTTCTATTAAAAAGTGTTGTGGGCCTTTTGGGCTGGGTTTTTGGTAATAAGTGTTGCGATGCGTTTTGGTGCGGTTTCTGGCAATAAGTGTTTTTGAGGCCCGTTTTTGGTGCGGTTTCTAGTAACAAGTGTTGTGATGCTGTTATGGTTTCTGGTTTCTTTTAATAAGTGTTTGTGGTGCTGTTTTTGGTTTCTGGTTTTTTAGGAAAAAAGTTTTTTTTGGTGCTGTTTTGGTCTGGTTTTTGGGAAAAGTGTTTTTTTGCTGTTTGGGGGCTGGTTTCTGGTAATAAGTGTTGTGGTGGGTGTTATGGTGCTGGTTTCTGGTAATTTAAATGTTGTTTAAGCTGTTAAAGGTGGGTGGTTTTTGGTAAAAAGTGGTTTTTTTGCTGTTTATGGTTTCTGGGTTTTTGGAATAAGTGTTGTGGGCTTTTTTCTGGGAATAAATTTTGTGGTGCCCGTTATGGGTTTCTGGTTTTTTGGTAATAATTTTGTGGTGCTGTTATGGTGCGGTTTCTGGGGAATAAGTGTTGTGGTTTCTGTTTTATGGGGCTGGTTTCTGGTAATAAATTTTGTGGTGCTGTTTTGGGGGCTGGTTTTTTTTGGTAATAAGTGTTGTGGTGCTTGTTTTGGTCTGGTTTTTGGCAATAAGTGGGTTTTGCTGCTGTTTTTGGGGCTGGTTTTTTTAGGGAATAATTTTTGTGGGGGCTTTAAAGGGCTGGTTTTTCCCCGGGAATAAGTGCTGTGATGCTGTTTTTGGTTTGGTTTTTTGGTAATAAGTGTTTTGAAACTTTATGGTGCGGGTTTTCCCCGGGAATAATGTTGTGGTCTGTTATGGTGCTGGTTTCCCGTAATAAGTGTTTTTGGGTGCTGTTAGGTGCTGGGTTTCTGGGAATAAGTGTTTTGAAATGGGTTTTGGTTTCTGGGTTTTTTTTTTGGTAAAAAGTTTTGTGGTCTGTTAGGTGCTTTGGGTTTTTGGTAAAATTTTTTGTTTGGGGCGTTAAGGGCTGGGTTTTTTTGTAATAAGTGTTTTTGGGGGCTTTAGGTGCTGGTTTTTTGGTAATAAGTGTTGTGGCCTTTTTATGGTGCTGGTTTTTGGAAAAAAGTGTTTTGATGCCCATTTTTGGGGCTGGGGGCCGGGGGAAAAATTTTTGTGGGGCGTTTAAGGGGCTGGTTTCTGGTAATAAAATTTTGGTCTGTTATGGGGTGGTTTTTTGTAATAAATGTTGTGGTGCGGGTTTTGGTCCCGGTTTTTTGGTAATAAGTGTTGTGGTTCTGTTATGGTGCTGGTTTCTGGTAATAAGTGTTGGGGTCTGTTATGGTGGCCCGGTTTTTGGGAAAAATGTTGTGGTGCTGTTAGGGGGCCGGGTTTTTGGTAAAAAAGGGGGTTTTGGTGCTTTATGGTGCCCGGTTTTTGGGAATAAATGTTGTGGGGCGTTTATGGTGCTGGTTTTTGGTAATAAGTGTTGTGGGGGCTGTTAAAGGTGCTGGTTTTTTGGAAAAGTGTTGTTTAGGCCCGTTATGGTGCTGGTTTTTGTAAAAAGGGTTTTTGAGGGTGTTTTGGGGCTGGGTTTTGGAATAAGTGTTGGGGTGCCCTTTATTGGGGGCTGGTTTCTGTTATAAGGTTTTTTGGTGCTGTTAGGGGGCTGGTTTTTGGTAAATAAGTGTTGTGTTGCTGTTATGGTGCTGGGTTTCTGGGAATAAGTGTTTTTGATCGTTAGGTTGCTGGTTTCTGGTTTTTAATTTTTTTAAATGTTGTGGGGGCGTTTTGGGGGTGGGTTTTTTTGGGGAATTAAATGTTTTGGGGGTGTTATGGGGGGGTGGTTTTTTTGGTATAAGTGGGGGTTTGGGGGGGGGGGTTAAAGGGGGGGGTTTTGGGGTTGTGTTTTTTTTAGGGTTAAAGGGGGTGGGGTTTTTGGGGGGGGAAAAAGTTTGGGGGGGGGTTGGGGTTTTTGGGGGGGGGGGTTTTGGGGGGGGTTAAGGTTTTTTGTGGTTTTGTTATGGTTGGGTTGGGGGGGGTTTTTGGGGGAAAAAGTTGGTTGGGATGGTTTTTTTGGGGTTTTGGGGTTTTTTGGGGAATTTTTTTTTGGGGGGTGCGTTATTTGGGGCTGGTTTTTTTTGGGGGGTGTTTGGGGTGTTTTTATAATTTTGGGGGTTTGGGGTTTTGGGGGAATAAGGTTTTTGGGGGGTTATGGTGTGGGTTTTGGGGAATTTTGTTGTGGTGTTTTTGTGGTTTTGGGAAAAATGTTTGAGGTTATGGTGTGGTTTTGGTAAAAAGTGTTTTTGGTTTGTTTTTGGTGTTTGGGTTTTTGGGAAAAAGTTTGTGGGCTGTTATGGTCTGGTTTTTGGGGAATAAAATGTTTGGGTGCTGTTAGGTGCGGGTTTTTGGTAATTAAAAATGTTTTTTGGGCTGTTATGGTGCTGGTTTTTTGGTAATAATTTTTGTGTGCTGTTATGGTGCTGGGTTTTTTTGGGAATAAGTGGTTTGGTGCTGTTATGGTGGGTGGGTTTTGGGAAAAGTGTTGTGGTGCTGGTTTAAGGGGTGGTTTTCCCGGGAATAAGTGTTGTGGTGCGTTAGGTGCCGGTTTCTGGGGAATAAGTTGTTTTTGGTGCTTTATGGTGCGGTTTCTGGTTAAAAAAGTTTTGGTGGGTGTTATGGTGCTTTGGGTTTCTGGGAATAATGGGTTTTGGTGCTGTTAGGTGCTGGGTTTTTGGTAATAATGTTGGTGGGCGTTATGGTGCTGGTTTCTGGTAATAAGTGTTTTTGGTGCTGTTATGGTGCTGGGTTTTTGGTAATAAGTGTTGTGGGGCTGTTATGGTGCTGGTTTCTGGTAATAAGTGTTGTGGTGCTGTTATGGTGCTGGTTTCTGGTAATAAGTGTTGTGGTGCTGTTATGGTGCTGGTTTCTGGTAATAAGTGTTGTGGTGCTGTTATGGTGCTGGTTTCTGGTAATAAGTGTTGTGGTGCTGTTATGGTGCTGGTTTCTGGTAATAAGTGTTTGTGGTGCTGTTATGGTGCTGGTTTCTGGTAATAAGTGTTGTGATGCTGTTATGGTGCTGGTTTCTGGTAATAATTGTTGTGGTGCTGTTATGGTGCTGGTTTCTGGTAATAAGTGTTGTAGGCTGAACAGTATAACTGCATGTAGAAGCAAACTGGATATTACATTTTTGTTCCTAATACTGACAACATAGTGTATATAACTGACACATAATGTGGAGTTAATACAACTACTGAATACTCATCATGGAGACCTTGTTGTATGTCCATCAAGAATACTCTTTCTTGTTTCTCATGATTCAAACCTCACAGAATTGACTTTGGAGTCTTAAGGGTGAGTGAACCTTGTGTAGGTGGTGGTGGCAGGTGTAGTGAACCTTGTGTAGGTGGTGGTGGCAGGTGTAGTGAGTCTTGTGTAGGTGGTGGTGGAAGGTGTAGTGAACCTTGTGTAGGTGGTGGTGGAAGGTGTAGTGAACCTTGTGTAGGTGGTGGTGGCAGGTGTAGTGAGTCTTGTGTAGGTGGTGGTGGCAGGTGTAGTGAACCTTGTGTAGGTGGTGGTTGTCAGGTGTAGTGAGTCTTGTGTAGGTGGTGGTGTCAGATGTAGTGAACCTTGTGTAGGTGGTGGTGGCAGGTGTAGTGAACCTTGTGTAGGTGGTGGTGTCAGGTGTAGTGAGTCTTGTGTAGGTGGTGGTGTCAAATGTAGTGAACCTTGTGTAGGTGGTGGTGGCAGGTGTAGTGAACCTTGTGTAGGTGGTGGTGTCAGGTGTAGTGAGTCTTGTGTAGGTGGTGGTGTCAGGTGTAGTGAACCTTGTGTAGGTGGTGGTGGCAGGTGTAGTGAACCTTGTGTAGGTGGTGGTGGAAGGTGTAGTGAGTCTTGTGTAGGTGGTGGTGGAAGGTGTAGTGAGTCTTGTGTAGGTGGTGGTGGCAGGTGTAGTGAGTCTTGTGTAGGTGGTGGTGGTGTCAGATGTAGTGAACCTTGTGTAGGTGGTGGTGGCAGGTGTAGTGAACCTTGTGTAGGTGGTGGTGGAAGGTGTAGTGAAACCTTGTGTAGGTGGGGGGAGGTGTAGTGAACCTTGTGTAGGTGTGTAGTGGAAGGTGTAGTGAACCTTGTGTAGGTGGTGTGGTGGAGGTGTAGTGAACCTTGTGTAGGTGGTGGTGGAAGGTGTAGTGAGTCTTGTGTAGGTGGTGGTGGAAGGTGTAGTGAGTCTTGTGTAGGTGGTGGTGGCAGGTGTAGTGAACCTTGTGTAGGTGGTGGTGGAAGGTGTAGTGAACCTTGTGTAGATGGTGGTGGAAGGTGTAGTGAACCTTGTGTAGGTGGTGGTGGAAGGTGTAGTGAGTCTTTGTGTAGGGTTGGTGGTGAGGCAGGGTAGTGAACCTTGTGTAGGTGGTGGTGGAGGTGTAGTGAACCTTGTGTAGGTGGTGGTGGAAGGTGTAGTGAACCTTGTGTAGGTGGTGGTGGAAGGTGTAGTGAACCTTGTGTAGGTGGTGGTGGAAGGTGTAGTGAACCTTGTGTAGGTGGTGGTGGAAGGTGTAGTGAACCTTGTGTAGGTGGTGGTGGAAGGTGTAGTGAGTCTTGTGTAGGTGGTGGTGTCAGTGTAGTGAGCTTGTGTAGGTGGTGGTGTCAGGTGTAGTGAACTTGTGTAGGTGGTGGTGTCAGGTGTAGGTGAGTCTTGTGTAGGTGGTGGTATCAGGTGTAGTGAACCTTGTGTAGGTGGTGGTGTCAGGTGTAGTGAGTCTTGTGTAGGTGGTGGTATCAGGTGTAGTGAACCTTGTGTAGGTGGTGGTGCAGGTGTAGTGAGTCTTGCGTAGGTGGTGGGTGTCGTGTAGTGAGCTTGTGTAGGTGGTGGTATCAGGTGTAGTGAACCTTGTGTAGGTGGTGGTGTCAGGTGTAGTGAGCTTGTGTAGGTGGTGGTATCAGGTGTAGTGAACCTTGTGTAGGTGGTGGTGGCAGGTGTAGTGAGTCTTGTGTAGGTGGTGGTGTCAGGTGTAGTGAGCTTGTGTAGGTGGTGGTATCAGGTTTAGTGAACCTTGTGTAGGTGGTGGTGTCAGGTGTAGTGAGTCTTGTGTAGGTGGTGGTGTTAGTTGTAGTGAGCTTGTCTAGGTGGTGGTATCAGTGTAGTGAACCTTGTGTAGGTGGTGGTGGCAGGTGTAGTGAGTCTTGTGTATGTGGTGGTGTCAGGTGTAGTGAGCTTGTGTAGGTGGTGGTATCAGTGTAGTGAACCTTGTGTAGGTGGTGGTGTCAGGTGTAGTGAGTCTTGTGTAGGTGGTGGTGTCAGGTGTAGTGAGTCTTGTGTAGGTGGTGGTGTCAGGTGTAGTGAGCTTGTGTAGGTGGTGGTATCAGGTGTAGTGAACCTTGTGTAGGTGGTGGTGGCAGGTGTAGTGAGTCTTGTGTAGGTGGTGGTGTCCAGGTGTAGTGAGCTGTGTAGGTGGTGGTATCAGGTGTAGTGAACCTTGTGTAGGTGGTGGTATCAGGTGTAGTGAATCTTGTGTAGGTGGTGGTGGCAGGTGTAGTAGTAATAAGAAATAATTTAGATGAGTGGAACTTGGATTGGCTTGCGGCGTCGGTGAGGCGGCAGGTTGTTGGTGAACGCTGGCCATTGCAGACCTAAGAGAAGACACATCAGACTTTTTTTTATATACAGATGAATTGTACAGGATATGAGCTGTCATCCTGCCTGAGCTGATTTCAAAGCCCCGCCCCATCTAAGGTATACAAACACCCCCAGGATGCGACCCACAACAGTCGACTATCATCCTGGCTAGTCGCAGTATTGCTAACATTATTAAAACCAATTGATTCGTGGATTCATTAATAATAACACACAGAAGATTCTCCATCAGTGCAAGGTGACCAGGAGAGAAGAAACACTTGTATTAATTTCACTCCATCACTGTCTGCAACATATCAACACTCCTCCTTCAGCATGCCGGCAGTGTACTTCCCGCCTCCAGGACTCAAGTACGCTTAACCGGTTTCCCTGAATCCCCTCATAAATGTTACTTTGCTCACACATCAACAGCACGTCAAGTCATAAAGTTTTTTTTCCTCCACTCGTCCTTAACAGGCTCACACACGCTTTCTTTAAGCCCAAGCCCCTCGCACACAAAAACCTCATTTACCCCCTCTCTCCAACTTTTCGTAGGACGACCCCTATCCCACCTTCCTTCCACTCCAGATTTATACACCCTCCAAGTCATTCTATTTTGTTCCACCCTTTCTAAATGTCCGAACCACCTCAACAACCTCTCCTCGGCCCTTTAGTTAATACTTTTAGTAACCCCCACAGCTCCTTCTACTCTGCAAGCCACGGATTCCCTACATATATTTACATAACACTCGGACACGACATCACTGCTTTCAGCCTCCACCTTGATGAAACATTCATATAAGACAGTTGGTACCACTATTCTTACACATATAAGAGTTTTACAAAGCAGAAGTGATATAAAGAGGAATGAGCATATGGAGAGAGTTAAGATAGTGGTGAAGGAATGTAAAAGGAGAGCAAATAAGACAGTGGGTGAGATGCTCTTAACACATTTTGCTGAGAATAAGAAAAAGTTTTAGAGTGAGATTAGTAGGGTGAGAAAGCCTAAAAAACAAATGGATCTGATAGTTATAAATAGAAGAGGAGACTTATTAGATGGAAAGTTGGAGGTATCGGAATGATGGAGCAAATATTTTGAAGAAATGCTAAATGTTGATAAAAATAGGGAAGCTATGATTTCGGGCATTGGACAGGGACATACAACAACTTTTAGGAGTGAGGAAGAGTCAGTTGTGAGCGTGGGGGATGTTCATGAAACTGTGGATAGAGTAAAAGACGATAAAGCAGCTGGGACTGATGGGATCCAGACAGATAGTTTTGGAGTGGTTGGTGCTTTTATTTAATAAATGTATGGAAGAGGGGAAGGTACCTAGGGATTGCCAGAGAGCGTGCATAGTTCCCTTGTATAAAGGCAAAGGGACAAAATAAAGTGTAAGAATTATAGGGGAATAAGCCAGTTGAGTATACGTGGTAAGGTGTATGGTAGAAATATTATTGAAAGAATTCAATGTAAGACCGAGAACAGGAACACGGATGAACAAGGTTTTAGGAAGGGCAGGGAATGTGTAGACCAAGTATTTAAAATAGAGCATATGAGTGAACAATATCTGGATAAGGTTAAATATGTTTTCGTTGCATTTATGGATTTGGAAAAGGCATATGATAGGGTGGATAGGGGAGCAATGTGGAAGATGTTGCAAGTATATGGAATAGGTGGTAGACTGCTGAAAGCAGTTAAGAGTTTTTACAAGGATAATGAGGCTCAGGTTAGGGTATGTAAGAGAGAGGGATATTGTTTCCCAGTAAAAGAAGGCCTTAGACAGGGATGTGTTATATCACCATGGTTGCTCAATATATTTACTGTGTTTTTGGGAGATTCCGAAGAGAAGTTGCTGAGGTTGGTGAACGAATTTAAGAGGGTGTGTAAAAGAAGGAAATTAAAAGTGACCATAAGAAAGAGCAAGGTGATGAGGATAAAAAAAATTAGGTAATGAGAGATTGGACTTCAGATTGGAGAGAGATAGTATAATGCAAGGGAATGTGTTCTGGTATTGGGGAGTGGACATGTCAGCAGATGGGTCTATGAGAGACGAGATGAACCATAGAACTGATGAGGGAAAAAGGTGAATGGCATACTGAGGAATCTGTAGAGACAAAGGACGTTATCCATGGAAGCAAAGAGAGGAACGTATGCGAGTATAATGGTACCAATGTTCATATATGGGTGTGAAGTATGGTTGGTGAATGTTGCAACAAGAAGGAAGCTGGATGCAGTGGAGATGTGTCTGACAGCAATGAGTGGTTTGAATATTACGCAGAGAATACATAGCATGGAGATTAATAGGTGAGGTCTAGAATTTAAATTGATAGATTATAGAGGTATGGGTGTTTGTGGGAAACAATCAGGCTAAACTATTAGGGTTAAAAACAGCAGTTATTACCAGGATACCTCAGGGATATGTTTAAAAGACAATATTCAAAATAAAGCTGCTAGTAATGGCAAATCAATTGATCAACAAACAAAGAGAGATAGTAGAGGGCAACGAGTGACTAGCTCCCTTAAGGTTTACTATACAAATAGTAGGAGTCTAAGAAATAAATAGATGAGCTAAGATTACTTGCAAGTGTAGGTAATATAGATATTATTGGTATAACAGGGACCTGGTTCAACCTGAAAGACAGAGAAATGCCTTCTGAATGCAGCATACAGGGTTATAAACTATTCCACACTGATAGGGTCAACAGGAAGGGTGGTGGTGTGGCGATGTATGTCAGAGAAAATTTAAATTGTTGTCTTAGACATGATATAAGATTAGAAACATCGAACACAGAATCTGTTTGGCTACAGTTTCTAGAGAGACGTGACAAATTAATTTTGGGTGTGATTTATAGGCCCCCAAACCTTGATAGGGAGTGCAGTAAGCTGCTATGGAACGAAATTCATAAGGCATCTAGATATGAAAATTTTGTGATAATGGGAGATTTTAACTTTAGACAAATTGATTGGAACAATATGACAGGAAATCTTGAGTCTAGTGACTTTCTTGATACGGTTCAGGATTAATTTTTAGAACAGGTTGTGACAGAACCAACTAGAGGAAACAATCTGCTTGACTTGGTTCTTGCCAACAAAGATTCACTAATTAATAATCTTGAGGTTAATGATGAGCTTGGGGAAATTGATCACAAATCACTTAGTTTCAATATATCATGGAATCACCCAGTTAACTGCAATCAAATCTCTGTCCCAGATTTTCGCTTGGCCGACTTATGGGACTGAAAAATTACCTGGGTGGGCTAAATTGGGGTGTCCTGACTATGGGTCAGGTAGGTGATCTTGGTTGCCAATATGACGTTTTTCAGAGCATAGTTCTAGGTGCCCAGACAACTTTTGTTCCGAATAGGGAAATTAGATCTAATGAAATTGATCCCAAATGGATGAACAACAGATTAAAACATCTCATTAGTCAAAAGAGAGGCATTTATAGGCGCATCAAAAGAGGGGATGGGCAGTTAAGAAATCAATATATTTAATTAAAGAGAGAAATAAAGAAAGGAATAAGAAAACCAAAAAGGGATTATGAGGCTAAGGTCGCAAGGGATTCAAAGATTAAATCAAAAGGGTTCTTTCAGGTATACAGAAGTAAGATTAGGGACAAGATTGGCCCACTTAAGAGTAACTCTGGTCAGATCACTGACAGTGATAAGGATATGTGTGAAATTCTCAATACCTACTTCCTCTCAGTTTTCACTCGGGAAATACTAGCGATATTCCTGAAATAATAGATTATGTAGAACAGGACGATAATAAACTAAGCACGATTGCGGTAACTAGTGACATGGTCCTCAGACAAACAGAGAAACTAAAACCTAACAAATCCCCAGGCCTTGATGAACTGTTTGCAAGGGTGTTAAAGAGGACTTAGTAAACCTTTGGCTAATCTTTTTAACATATCACTACAAACTGGCATAGTGCCTGATAAGTGGAAAATGGCAAATGTAATACCTATTTACAAGGCAGGTGACAGGTCCTTTGCTTCGAACTATTGACCAGTAAGCCTTACCTCCATAGTGGGAAAATTTATGGAATCAATAATTGCCGAAGCAATTAGTAGCCATCTTGATAGTCACAGACTGATTAATGAATCTCAACACGGTTTTACAAAGGGGCGTTCATGTCTTACGAATTTACCAACATTTTTCACTAAGGTGTTTGAGGTAGATCATGGTAATAAATATGATATTGTGTATATGGACTTCAGTAAGGCTTTCGATAGAGTTCAACATCAGAGGCTACTGAGGAAACTTAAGGCACACGGAATAGGAGGAGAAATATTTTCCTGGGTAGAGGCATGGCTGACAAATAGGCAGCAGAGAGTTTGCATAAATGTGGAGAAATCAGAATGGGGGCACGTCACAAGCGGTGTTCCGCAGGGGTCAGTGTTGGGCCCATTGTTGTTCACAATTTACATAAACGACATAGATGAGGGAATAAATAGCGACATAAGGAATTTTGCTGTTGACACCAAAATAGGCTGTCCAATTCATTCTAATGAGGACACTAGAGCATTCCAGGATGATTTGAATAGACTGATGCAATGGTCGGAGAAGTGGCAGATGCAGTTTAATATTGACAAATGCAAAGTTCTAAATGTTGGACAGGAAAATAACCATGCCACATATAAACTAAATAATGTAGATCTTAATACTACTGATTGCGAAAAGGATTTAGGAGTTTTGGTTAGCAGTAATCTAACACCAAGACAACAGTGCATTAGTATTCACAATAAAGCTAACAGAATTCTTGGCTTCATATCTAGAAGTATAAATAATAGAAGTTCTCAGGTTGTTCTTCAACTCTATATATCCTTGGTTAGGCCTCATTTAGACTATGCTGCTCAGTTCTGGTCACCGTATTACAGAATGGACATAAATGCTCTGGAAAACGTACAGAGGAGGATGACAAAGATAATCCCATGTATCAGAAATCTTCCCTATGAGGATAGACTGAGGGCCCTGAATCTGCACTCTCTCGAAAGGCGTAGAATTAGGGGGG